ACGAAATAGGGTGAATACATCTCATTACACTGATTTACTGGTAGTCTCGAAACCCTACTCACATACGAATCATACAATTAGTCCACAAGAGGAGGTTGGAGCTTAACGAGGCCTCGAATGTCTTTACTAGTCAACTTTGTCTTGATCCTCTGTGACAGAATGGATGGAGAAGAAGGGCTCTCATTGAACAGACATGGGGGTGTATGCGAATACATGGCAAAGCTTTTTGGACCTGGATCACCAAAGCGATCAACTGGAACCAGCTTTCTCCCGTGGCTTTACTGATAGCCCCGGCAAGTAGTGAATTTCACTTGAAGGAAAATTCGTTTTTTACCAAATGATGAAAATGCCTTCTTTTGATGCTATCAGAAGAGCTTTCGTAAGATCCAAAGTGGATAGTCACCTATTTAGGACAATTTCCCAGAGGAACAGGATGAAAATGTGCCTGAATGGTCGAGCTTAACTTATTCCTGGGAGGAAAAACACGACGGTAGCCGTGCCAGAATGCCAGGTTTGAGCGGACCATCCTGGACAATCCCGGTGTTCGTATTCGCATCAATCGGTCATTTACGTTGCCAGTGCCAAGCGCGATAAGACTACCACCTTGCCAGTAGAGAACAAAGTGGTTCAGTTTGTTCGATTGCCGCTCCAGCAGAAGACACCTCTTATGCATGAAAACACGAAACATTAAACACCAAACATGCTGACCATCGCCACCCTATCTAGCTTACGGTGAAGTTGATTGTCAAGGCATAAGTGAACGTTTTTAGTACAGAACAGTTTCCGGTGAATCTCTTTCAACTTACTTTTCACACGAAGCGAAGGACACAAAGACACCACATCACGCACAGTTAATTAAACAAGCAATAGAGGCGGAAAAGCCGTCAATTGCATTTTCACCAATTGGTTCCTTTCTGAGGGATTTGATGACTGATCGATTGCTTCATTCTCTACACTGAGCAATCACGTGGATAAGCAATCGCAAATAAATATGAGCATTTATAGGCATATGCATCACCCAAATGCACACCAGCAGAGCTTAAGAGAGAAAAAGACACTTGAAAAGTTCCATTTTTATCACAAGTACACTGGCCAAAAAAGATAAGAGGCTTCGCCATTCAGTCACATGCTCGAGGCCATAGAGATGTTTTGTTAAACAAACGGTGACCCATAAACTAGTCAATCTTTCCGCATCAGATAACCGGCTACTCGAACTGAGTGCCTGTGCTTTAGAAATTAGTAATCTCTAGATCACGCATCGACATGAAAAAACATATCTTTATAAGCTGTCCAAGATGCCAGAGTATCCTAAAGATATGCCACAAATCGACAGAGCTACACAAATTTCGGAAGCAACCAAGAGCCGTACAGTAACGTTGTCGTCATCAAAGAATTGAGTGAATGCAAGTATTGACAAGGCAAACATTCCAAGACCTTTTGGAAAAATGGGATGCAACGAAATAGGGATATGACTAGAAAACAATTTGAAAATATCGCTATTTTTAGACGAGCGTGATTCCTTCAACGTCATTAGCATCAGCAAAAGTGTGCATTCGAAGTGATCCACAGGATCATGCGTCTGTGGCAGATGAGCACAAAAAAGTTGATTAGGTTTGACGGATAAGCCGATGTTGGTGTCCGTGATTTAACCTCCGCGAACAAACATTAAAATTGCATGATAGTATCATTTACAGACGGTCAAGTGTCTACTTCCTAGTGCAATTTAAAGGTTGGAAAAGTAGACTTTGCAGATTGGGGATAGCCTTCGATCTTTTGCAACCATCAGCACAAGCATACGCAGCCTGAACCGAATTGAGCTGGAGATACAGCCCAGTTTATGGGAGCACCTAAAATGTACACCACGAGACCAGATGTATTCTCCCTCTTAATAGTAAATTCGCCAAGAGGTAGTGGAACAGTAAAGGCAAAGTTAAGCTTAGCAATTGTGCAAAAAAAGTC